GAACTTTGCAAACTCACACTTGCTGTGTTTGACGAAGAGGTGGTGCTCACAAAGTCGAGTGAACACTTGGCTTAGATGCTCAACATGTGCTTTCAATTATTTGCTATGGATCAGAATGTCATCAATGAAGATTATGACATATTGGTCCAAGAAATCACGAAAGACATTGTGCATCAAGCACATGAAAGTAGCAGGGGCACTTGTTAGTCCAAAAGGAAGAATCAGGAATTCAAAATGCCCATACCGAGTTATGAATGCAGTTTTCTCGATGTCTTCGTCAGCGACGCGAACTTGATGATATCCGCTTCGGAGATCTAGCTTGCTAAAAAATGTGGTTTCACCGAGTTGATCAAAGATTTCTTCCACACGTGGTAGGGGGTAGCGGTTCTTGATGATAATCTTGTTGAGTGCACGATAGTCGATGCACATCCGTATGCTACCATCCTTTTTCTTCACGAAGAGAATCGGTGCTGCATAAGGAGAGGAGCTGACTCGGATGAAGCCTTTCGCAAGAAGCTCTTCCAACTGCTTCTGGACTTCTTGCAGCTTAGTAGCACTCATCCGGTAGGTAGCACTGACAGTACATTCAGAGCCAGGGAGTAGAGTAATGCAGCGATTGATAGCTCTATTGGGAGGAAGACCAGAGGGAAGGTCTGAGAAGAAGATGCAAGACTTTTTGAATTTCATTAGGGATATCAGCAGCCTTGGAAGGGGAAGAGGGAGAAGGACTTTCACATAATTTCTTCAAAAGTCAAAGAAAGCATTGAGCACTTGGGTCTTATAAATATTTTTTAAACTGTCTTGCTGAAAGGAGGTTGCAGCAAGTGGGTATGGAAGGAGAGGCAGAGAGGGGAGGTAGGGTTATGTTTTTTCCAGAGTTAGAGATGGTAACAGTTCCAAGGGTTCAATCAATCTTGGGATTAGCAATAGACAGCCAACCATGTCTAAGAATGATTTCATGGTCTCCAAGTGATGCTTGCTGAAATTGAATCTTGGTTTTGTAGTGTCCGATGGTACAAGATAGGGAAGGTATTGGTCCACAAGCAATTGAAGTTCCATTTAGGTCACTGTCTGAGGTAGGAATTTAGGTTGGGTTGGAAGGGAAAGTATGGAAACTAAAGAGGAGGAGATGAAATTTGAGGAAGCACCACTGTCAATTAACGCTTTTACTCTTTGACCGCGAATAATCATGGGAAGAAGAAGAGGTTTAGAAGGGTTATGACTTTCAAGAAAAGAGATGGAGGGGCTGATTTTGTTACCAGGGAGTTGCCCCAAACTCACTGGTGACTTCCATTTCCCAGCATTAGAAGAAGAGGCGGTTGATTGGTACGCCCGCGGCAGAACTTCCAGATGTGTCCTTTCTTGCCGCACTTGAAGCACACGATGGGTGGCCTCAGGTTCTGCTTTCTTTTCTCAACCAGGTCTAGGTCCATAGGAGCGGGTTCTTGTTGGTTGGTGTCTGCTGAAGTGAAGGACTGGTAGGAGGGAGCAGAAGGGAAAAGCGGGCTGCGAGGAAAGCGAGGCTTACTGTAGGCAAAGTGAACAGCATCATACCGTTCAGCCACGTGTATCATTTCCTTGAGCGTAGTGCTGTCTCTCAGCTCCACCTCTATGCGCACGTTCGGCTTCAATCCACGTTCGAAGCGATCTATTTGTTCGGCAAGGGAGAGATCGGGAATTTCTTGACTGATGTCACGGAAGCGAGAAGTGTACTCTTGGACAGATTTCAATTGCTTGAGGGCTGCCAAGGAGTCTCGTGCCTTGATGTTTGGGTCCATTGGTTGAAATGTTGGTGTGAAGACTTGCTTGAAGTATTCCCCAAGAGGTGATAGATGCTAGCGCAGATTGCCACCATGCGATTGCAGATCCACGAAGAAGAGTTCCGGTGAAGGCAGTCCATTCAGCGGGTGCTATGTGACCCAGCAGCAAGTACTGCTCTACGAGAAATAGCCATCGGCTCACGACGGGCTGATTTCTCCCGGGAAGAAAAAAATCAGGAAGAGCGGGTCTAGCACGCTGATTTCCATCTGATGGTGCAGCAGGGTTCACGCCTGCCACCACTCCAGCTGCAATTCTGCCTGCAAGCTTTCTCTAACCTCAGAAATGATTTGGGCTCAGTATGTTTGCAAAACACCAGCCCAGTCGTCAGGAGAAGGGGGCCCATTAATTGTCATGACGAGTTCTAAAAAAAGAGGGTCGCAAATAGTTCTGATACCAAATGAAACAGCCACTAGGCTGTTTGGAGTAGATATTAGAGTAAGGAGGTATTCTTGAAACAGTTGAAAGGTGAAAGTAGAAAGGTATTTTTACTAGAGATCATATGATGGCTTCCAATAAAGAAGCACACCACTATATACAAAGAAAATGACTGAGGAGCCTCGAGAGGGTTGCCCAAGTTGCATCTCACCTTTGCTATGCTAAGAGCAGCAAAGCATACAGTATATAATGATTACATGCATAAACACTTAGCCTTGCTGGAATTCTACAAAGTAGCATGCATAGTCTAGAAATTAACTATTGCAGCCTAGACAAGTCTTCTTTGTACTGCTGTTGTTAACGAAATTCATAGAAATGATGAGATCTAGCAGTGTTGGTAGAAACCATGGCTATAGCTGCTTTACGCTAGGTGCGATGTCGAGTATTCTGATGCGCTGCTTGGCTGGCTTGCGTGACCTCTGTAGTTGTTACCAATGCTGGAAACTCATATTGACTGGTTGAACAATTTGAGGTGGGGTTCAACCTTCGAATTGTCCAAGGGTGTGTTCCGAGGTTGGGTTTCAACCTCAAAATCAAATTGAGTTCAGTTGGCGAAATCAGGAGTGATGATTTTGTAAGTAATAGAGCTGAAATGAATAATAATGTAAGGAGCCCAAGGCTCTATAAGTACATGGCAAGGTGAGAGAGAATGGATGAAGGGGGAATCGGAGGGAATCCCAACTAGGATCTCCAAAATTTCCGATTGGGTACTTGGAGATTGGGGGGATCACAATTGGGTGAGGTTGGGATTTTGTGAGTACACCCCAACCCACTAGAACATTCCTAACCTCAACTAGGATATAAATGTACACATACAAAACTGGGATTTGCAATCTATTTCTAGCACACCCCCATAGATTGCAAACTCGGTCAAGAAGCACATAGCCCCATGTAACGGAGAAGGCGATGATGGTTACTCTGAACAAGATCTCGGATGAAGAAATGACGAAGTTCGATGTGCTTGGTGTGAGAGTGGAACACAGGATCCTTGGTGAGGTGAATGGCGCTCTGGTTGTCACACCACAGGGTGGGCGACTGCTGCGGGTAGCCTAACTCAGCAAGGAGAATGGAGAACCAACGTGCCTCTTGAGCAGCCATTGTGCCTGCGTAGAGCTCGGCCTCGCAGGACGACAGGGAGACTACGGAGGACCGAGTGGAGCGCCAGCTGATGACTCCGCAACCAAGGGTGAAGCAGTACCCTTGGGAGGAGCCTGTGTATCCTTCGATCTTGATTGGATAGGTACAACCGGGAGTGAGGATGTGAGACTTGGTGTCTTGTAGATAGCGAAGGACCCTCTTGGCTGCAGACCAATGGGAGGCAATGTAGCATCCGGGGGAGACATACCGAGAGAGGACACTAACCGGGTAAGCCAAGTCCGGTCGAGTGTACATCATAGCATACATGAGTGAACCGACTAGCTCAGGGTACATGTCCTTGCAAGCGTCAGGGGAAGGAATTGGAGGGGCCATGAGCTGATGCTGTAGTGGGAGTGGAGTGGAGACAGAGTTACTGGAGTCCATGTCGAACCGCTTGAGAAGGTTGTCGATGTAGGACTCCTGGGAGAGGGTGATCATGTAAGCTTGGCAATCACAAGTGATCTCCATCCCCAGATAGTTCTTGAGGTCACCAAGATGCTTCATGAGAAGGGCGGAGCTGAGAGCAGACTGGACATCTGCCATCTCGGCTGGATCTCTGGCGACTAGAATGAAGTCGTCGACGTAGACGAGGATCTAGAAGGGCTCGAAGAAGTAACGAATGAAGGGACTGGAATCTGAGGTAGAGGGATGGAAGTCAAGTGCGAGGACGACTTCCTTCACCTTGTTGTGCCTTTCACGAAGAGCCTGCTTGAGGCCATACACTGGGTGCTTTAGCTTCCACACTGTGTTGGCAGGGTAAGTGCCAGGAAACCCTGGTGGGCGTTCCATATGAACGTCCTCCTTGATTTGGACTTGGAGAAAGGTGGAGGCATCCATGGACGTGATCTCGAAGTTGCCGCGAGCGGCTATATCAAGAAGAGCACGCACAGTCAAGAGCTTGGCCGTGGGGCGAGACGGTTTCGAAGAAGTCGAGATACTCCTTCTCGGTGAAACCCTTCATCACATATCGTGCCTTCAACAATGGAGCTTCGCCTGGGAGTTGTTTGACGCGGAAGATCCATTTTCCGTCAACGATGTTGAATCAAGTTTTAGGATTAAAGACGGAGTCTAGGTGAACTTAGGAGCTAGAATTACTCAAAATATATATCCGAAATTCTGGACAGAAAAGTCGTCTTCCCAAGAGACGACGTTGACGAAAACATAGCTGTTGGAATGTCGCGAAACTTGGATATGTTATAGCTCTTAATCTCAGCTATCGTTCCCAATTTGAATCACGTTAATTGATGAAGTATTCGCGACGCTATGGCTTTCGACGCACTAGGGGGTAAGCTGTAGGAGGAGAACTTAACTCAATCTCAAAAGTTCAATCAAAGTTCAAGAATGTCACAAGGAATAAGAGGAGCAAGAGAAAGGTTGGGATACAAGAGAGGGATGAGAGGGAAGGTCCCAAGAGAGTCCCCAACCAAGGAAACCCCATAAGGACAAATATTCCCTCCCTATAGGAACCCCAACTTTTACATTTGTCCCTCCCCAACCAATCCATCCAAGTTGGCCACCCTTGCCAACCTAGCTTGGTAGTTCCCAACCAATTTGCAGCTGTTACAGTAGAGTGACAAATTTCCCCAACCCCCAAAGGTCCCAACTCCATATAGAGTCACCCCACAACTTCACTATGTTACCGCCGCAATTGTAACGCAAGCTCATGAACTTTGAATCTTCATAGCTTTCGCGTTCTTGCTCCGATTGAAGGGATTCTCGTTGCGTCGGAAAGATCTTCTCAAGATCTATCATCACAAAATACCTGCTCAAACAAAATAACACAAAACACATTCAAACTCCATAACACTTCACACACAAATTCTTGCACACGTTCAAACCACACATGCAAGTTGAAAACATGGGATGGGAGGCAGACAGAATGTGATAGCATATGATGACATCACACAACAATCTCCCCCTCTAGCTGCCAACCATCATCCACCATACCAACATCTCAAGCATGCATACTCAATGCACACTCATCCCAGCAAGCTTCATGCCCTTCCAATGATCCGCCTCCGCCAGACTCTTAGTGAAAATATCTGCTGCCTGCTGATGGATCTTCACTATCTCCAGCCGCACCTCCTTATCAAGGAGTCTCCTCACCCAATGCCACTTTGGCCTTATGTGTTCTGTCACCCCATGCAGACAAGCATTCTTGGCGAGCTTCATAGCAGACTCATTGTCACAAAACACAACTGTCAGCTCCTCCTTACCAACTCCCAACTCCTCTAACAAGCGCCTCAGCCACACCACTTCCTTGGCCCCATTGTGTAAGGCCATGTACTCAGTCTCACATAAGGACAATCCCACCTCATTATGCTTCTTGCTGCGCCAGCTTACAGCACCACCTCCTAGCAAGCACACATAACCCCCAATGCTGGTGCCATCCGCTTTTACTGAGTTGAAGCTAGCGTCAGTACCTTGGGTTGAGGAATTGCAGCCCAATAGCATAATGCAATCTCATCTTCCTCAATCTGCTCAACCACACTCCCAGCCTGCACCACATTTGGCTTGCCTCTTCCCCCATAGGTCAGCCTCACATGAGGGCGCACATCCCTCCTAGGTCGCTCACGCGTGTGTGGAACTCGAGGTGGAGACTCATGCTGCTGCTGTTGCTGCTGCTCCACTTCAGCTGCTCCCCCTTCCTCAGTCACCCCAGACATCTCCTCCTCAGACACTGCAACCTCCACCTGTCTTCAAGGCCGCTGCACCTCATCTGCCTCCACAATGAGCGGTGTAGATGGAAGCTTCTGTTGCTGCTGCTTCCATTCCTTGTAGTACAGGGACTCAAGAAACTTCACATCCCTTGACACTGTCAGCTTCTGGGTGGTCAAGTCCCATAGCAGCCATCCCTTGTGATCCTTTGCAATCTCCAAGTGCACACCCCATCATCCAGAAGCCTCCAACTTCCCTCTTTTCTCCTTAGGCACATGAAACACTACCATGCACCCAAATGCCCTCAGCATATTCACAGCTGGAGCACTCCCATACCACTTGGTATATGGGATCCACTCCTTATCCCCAACTGTAGCCAGCACCCTATTCTTCACAAGGGCGACCTGCCTCAGTGCAGACACCCAAAACGGATCAGGCAGCCCTGCACGCCCAAGGAGAGTGCGTGCCCCCTCCTGCAGGGTCCTGTTGAACCTCTCAGCCACGCCATTCTGCTGCGGATTGTAGGGCACTGTCAGTTGATGCTGGATCCCCTTCCTCTTCAACTCCCCCTCAAAATCAGCTCCAATGAACTCCCCACCATTGTCACTGCGGATCACCTTCACCTTGTGTCCGCATTCCCTCTGAGCTCTAGGCATCCACTCCTTAAGGACAGCCGCTGCCACCTCCCCCTTGCTGTTCAAAGGGTAAACCCACACTGCCCGAGTGTGGTCATCCACAATTGTCAAGAAATAGCGGCTGCCTGAGAGGGAAGGGGCTCTTGTGGGCCCCACCACATCCATGTGCACAAGTGCAAGTGGGGTCTTGGCTGGTCCTGTTGCACTGTTGAAGGGGAACTTGGAGAACTTGGTCTCCAAGCATGTAGGACAGCTCCCAATCTCCTTCACTTCCCCTTTCACCTCCAAGCCCTTCAGGCTCCCATTCTTCACCAACTTCTGCAGCATAGGGAAGTTCACATGACACAGCCTCTCATGCCATGTCTCCCAATCGGCCTCACCACTCCTTGATGAAACCTTAGCCCATGCCGCACTCGCATCCACACCAGCAAACACCTCACCATGTGTCTGCTGCTGCTGCACTTTCTTGACTGCTTCCAGGACCCCATCAGTTGGTGCAGTTGCATCTCCTCCTGCTGTTGCCTTTGCCGCTGCTGCCGTTGCTGCTGTTGGAGTCTTCTCATTCCAAGGGATGATGGGCAGCTGCCATAGGTCCTTGATGCAGCTGGTCTCCTCTTCCAGACTCCACAGCACCTTCTTCCCAAGCTTAGCACGGCAGCTGGTTGGTCCAAAGGTCACTTTGGCCTTGCTCTTCTGCAGTCGCCGCACAGAGAGAAGGTTAGCAGACAAACCTTCAACTAGCAGAACATTCCCAAGCCCCACAAGCTCCCCATTAGCTCCCTTAACCTTGGCATTTCCAACACCAATCACAGTGAGCAAAGCACCTGACAATGCTGTCACATACTTGATCTTCCCAGGGGGTTTTACCTCATCAAGCAAATCTGCCCGTGGGGTCATGTGACTGGTGCAACCCGAATCAATCACCCAGTGCGTGAGAGGGTGCATCACAACCTTTCCCACAGATCCCACATCACCCTCATGCCCATGCACATCCTCAACCATGAGAAACATCTCAGGATAGGCATTACCTTGTGCACCTTCACCTTGTGCACCTGAGTCTTGCACAGCGCCACCTTGTGCGCGTTCACCACTGGGTGGCTTCATGCCTGGAGGTGCCCATCCCTCCGGCCTGCTGAAGCACTTAAACCAAGGATGCCCGACCTTCTTGCAGTACCAGCAGGTGCCCTCCATTCTGGTACTCCCCCTGCCACTAGAGCTCCCATGCCCCTCATTATAGTCACCTCGGCCTCTACCTCTGCCAAAGCTCCTCCCACGGCCTCGGCCTCTCCAACCTTCTCTTCCTCTGCCGCGCCCTGCAGCTCCATACCCCTCAGCAGTCTTAGTGGAAGCACCACCTCCCACATGGCGTCTGCGGAAGTCCTCCTGCAGAATCTGCTGCCTTAGCCACTCAGGTGTCCATTGATCTTGCTGAGAGTTGAGGGTGGGGATGAGGTTGTTCCAAAAGTTGTCCAACACCGAGATGATCTTGGTGCACTGCTGCAGCTGAGATACACTGCTGCCCGCTGCTGCCATCCTTGCATAGGTGTCCTTGATCTTGTCAATGACCGGCTTCACATCGTCCCCTGGTCGCATGGAGATGGCAGCAAGTTCCTTCTCGAGCACGATCACCATCGGGAAAGTGTTGGGCTGAATCACATCGCGTAGTAGTTTCCATGCCCTTGGACCCGAATCATCCGCTTCCACGATCCTTGATGTGCTCGAACATCTTCTTGTTGACCGATTGAAGGATGAGGTCGAAAAGCACCGCGCTTTTCTCAATCCATCGTTTGCGTGCTTCGCCTTCTTCCGGCATCTTCTCTTCCCCAACAGCAATCTTCAGTAGCTTGTAGCGTTTGAAGGCACTCCTCATCCGTCCGCTCCATTCCTTATAGTTGGAGCCATCCAAAGCTTCAACTTTTGATGGCGGCGGCTCACTTGTCTTCTCAGCTACAGCTCCTCTTTCATTAGCATCTCATCCTCTCTCATTCATCTTCTCCTTGAGAAATGACGAATTTCAGCTCCCCTTTGCTGTCCACACTCAGCTCCCTCGATATTTTCACAAGTGTCGGCGTCCACAAAATTTCGGCAGAGTTTTCCCTTAGCGGAAGACACATCCAGCCTTTAGAACACCACGTAGGCACACCCACAGGCCATGGTGGGTCTAGAAGTGTCTTCACACTTCTGTAGACTCCTCTCAATGTCCTTAATATCGCTCTGATACCACTTTTTAGGATTAAGGACAGAGTCTAGGTGAACTTAGGAGCTAGAATTACTCAAAATATATATCCAAAATTCTGGACAGAAAAGTCGTCTTCCCAAGAAACGACATTGACGAAAACATAGCTGTTGGAATATCGCAAAACTTGAATATGTTATAGCTCTTAATCTCAGCTACCGCTCCCAATTTGAATCACGTTGATTGATGAAGTATTCGCGACGCTATAGCTTTCGACGCACTAGGGGGTAAGCTGTAGGAGGAGAACTTAACTCAATCTCAAAAGTTCAATCAAAGTACAACAATGTCACAAGGAATAAGAGGAGCAAGAGAAAGGTTGGGATACAAGATAGGGATGAGAGGGAAGGTCCCAAGAGAGTCCCCAACCAAGGAAACCCCATAAGCACAAAGATTCCCTCCCTATAGGAACCCCAACTTTTACATTTGTCCCTCTCCAACCAATCCATCCAAGTTGGCCACCCTTGCCAACCTAGCTTGGTAGTTCCCAACCAATTTGCAGCTGTTACAGTAGAGTGACAAATTTTCCCAACCCCCAAAGGTCCCAACTCCATATAGAGTCACCCCACAACTTCACTTTGTAACCGCCGCAATTGTAACGGAAGCTCATGAACTTTGAATCTTCATAGCTTTCGCGTTCTTGCTCCGATTGAAGGGATTCTCGTTGCGTCGGAAAGATCTTCTCAAGATCTATCATCACAAAATACCTGCTCAAACAAAATAACACAAAAAATATTCCCAAACTCCAGAACACATCACACACAAATTCTTGCACACGTTCAAACCACACATGCAAATTGAAAACCTGGGATGAGAGGCAGACAGAATGTGATAGCATATGATGACATCACACAACAACAAGAAGGGGGAACGACATTGTCAAAGGTGTTGCTGCGAAAGAACGCCTCGTTCTCCACATCCATTGCTGCATTCCACTCCTTATAAGGCCCCTTAAGAGCTTCCTCTTTTGTGGGAGGAGTCGGAGTGATCGGGTTCTCAGTAAAGTTGAGGGAAGGGCAGTCAGAAATGTCTGGGAAGATGTGAGAGAGAAATTGGCAGATTGCGTGAAGGTCAAACAGCTCCTCATGCCTGTCCTCCAGAAGTGCACGGGGGGGAATACGGATGGAGGGGACATCACCCCCGGCAGGAGAAGGCGGGGTGACCGAACACCGGATGGAGCGGCTGGTCCCCAGGCGAGAGGCGGAGCTGGTACCTTGGAACGAGTGCGACTAGAGACCGGAGACGAAGGCGGCTGCGGTGGGACCGGTTGGACTGGGTGTCTCCGGTAGGAGACTGGTGAGCCGGGCTCGATGCGCAGGGAAGGCGGAGCAGGAGGAGGTGCCGCTGCGGAGGATACCGGCGAGGCCGGGTGAGACACGCCGGACGAAGAAGGCCCCGGAGAAGGGGCAGCGGTCGAAGGTGGGGCATCGAAGTCTGCCCAGACAGGCGTCGGGGGCGGTAGAGGAGGCTCATCGAAGATGACATCATGGCTGCGAATCAGCTGTCTGGTGATGGGTTTGAGGAATAAGTAGTCCGGGGAGTCGGAGTTGTGCCCCAGGTACATACATGTCTGGGTTTTGGGACCAAGCCTATCACCTTGCTTCTTGCGCGTGTGGAAGCTGAGCAACACATACGTAATACACCCCCAGACGCGTAGAGAGTGGGCGGAAGGCGTGGCCCCAAGCCATGGTAAAACCGCTCCAAAGTACTGGAAATCCCACAACTACTGCTCTAGAAGACTCCCACACGGACTCAAATAATCTTCAGAAGTCAAATATTGCTTGCGAGCTGGCCCCAACACAGCCCCAACAGTACTGCTGCCAATTTTTATGTGAATCCGATACTGTTGTTTTTAATTTTGCTAGCGAGGCGGGGTCGTGTTCACACTGTCGGGCGAATCAGGCGAATTGATGCTGGAGGCGGTAGCGGGTGGTGGCAAGAAGAAGACGACGATGGCGATGACTTATAACCTGTACGGAAACACTACATTAAAAAACCTCGAACAGAACCTGGTGTCGAATGACGCCACCTGCATCAGCTACTTTGTTTGTACACGCCAAAATTTTCGGAAAGAGACGAAACAGCTGCTGCTCTCCTCCCTTCCATATATCCAAAACACTCTGCAAATGTCAGTCGATGTCGCTCGTACCCTTGAAGATAACGGGCACAACTCCAGCTGTAAACTCGTGAACTGCTCCTTAACCCCATCGAAAATGTCGGAACTCCATCGATACTTAACCAAAATTGCAACACTGCTTCACAGCTACCCGTAAAAATGTCCAGGCATAGCAGCGCCCCCACGATTGCTCGACCAACTGTACGCATGAACTGAACCCTTTAAATTAGGGTTTACCAGAGTCCACCGCCTCGGCATGATGTTTTGGCCGTTGATCAGGGTCAACGCGCATCATACGCCGTCGATCTCAGCCCAGCTGTTACCCAAAATTCTTCAAAATACCCTGGTACCCCTGCCAGCTGGCCATGCAGACGTTCACCCATCTCGCGGCTGCTGCAAGTTACCCAAAACCACGTCGCTGCTGCTTAACTAACTAAGAGAATCCGCAGAGATAGGAGTGCGCACGCTTCTAGTCAGAGAAGCTTTAAAGAGCTCGCCTACTGACCGTTGGACAGCTCCCTTCTTCGTTGAAAACTCGTCAAACTACACTCGCAAAAGTCAGAAACTCCTTCTGCTCCATCAGGTCAAACCCTCAGCTCCGCTACAACAGTAACGCCTTAAAATTTCGGTGACACTCCATCGGCACAGTGTAGTTCGCAGGTTCACCCGCCTTATTCAGCCAGAAGCCGTCGATTAATAAGTCGACACTGCTACTTGGTGGGAATGGTGATTTCCGGACAACGTACAGCTGAGCGAGTAGCAGCCCGAACGCCGCTAACCCTTAACTACTCCAGTACTCCAGTCGTTCTTCTTCCACTGCTTTAGTTCCTGGCAGGTAACTCTTTCGGCGACTGGTGGAAGAACACTTAATATACACCCAAGGGTGGTGGACTCCGTTTCCGTTGATCGTGGGGGTATGAATCGCTGGTCCACGAAAAACGCCTCCCCACGCGGGAAGTCGCCCTCGCTGAGTACACTCACTCCATCACATCGTCATCACCTCTAGATGGTCGTCTTGGTGAATAGCGTCGAGGTCGTTATTCACAGCTGCTCCCACACAACTGCACACCCACACGTCCTCGTGCGATCGTGTCGTTCCAAAATTGTCGGATCCGCCCATTGCCAAAACAGTGTTGAAGTCCCATCCATCGGCTGCAACTAGCCTGCCGGAAACGCCGGTACCCGCGACACAGCTACAGTTCACTTTTCCGCTACATAGCATGCCACACATACATCACCGTACGTCCCGCCAATTTCGCTACCCCCCTCACTCCTGACAACCAATTCCCGGCCGCCTGAGGACTCCCGTGCAAGTGTCTCCTCATGACAAAGCCTTCACTTTTTTTTCAGAAGCCAATCCGAAGACTCCGTCCGAATACCCGAAAATTATTAAAGCTCTAACGAACATACCCGAAAAACACGGCGAAAACGTCGCCCACTCTTCGACGGGAAATCATTCCTTCTACGCCAAGGGAAGGGGAGGACTGGCTAATCCCAGCCGTCCATCGGACAAGATCTGACGACATCGGCAACGCCCGCGCAATTAATCTCCGCGACGTCCGCTCGCCATCAGCATCATTCCGCCCCCTTCCCCGATAGGGTCTGCTCCCCTACCGGAAGCCTAATGGGCAGGAACGTAGCTCTGACACCAGCTGTTATTAATTATAACTCATAGTATAGCGCAGAATAGTATAAGGGGAACGTGATTACAATGATGTACATAATGTTGATAGAAATGAGGCCTAGACAATATATAAGGCGAGTTGACTAGGTTGAATGTCAAAGGTTGGACTATTCAAGGGCTCGTTAGTGTCGTGGCACTGGGATAACCCTGTCGATCGTCTCTCTATCTCTAGAGACGGTACCGGGTAGGCTTTCCTTGGGGAAGGTGGATATATGTAGCCTAACCCTCCTGATGACATCCCTTCTTGTCCTAGTGGTTTTAGGACTGGTGACTTTATGACTTGGTATCTGAGCCATACGGGGTTCAATTCCTGGTGTACACGCTATCCCAGCGGAGGGGTGTGTCGTGGCACTGGGATAACCCTGTCGATCCTCTCTCTATCTCTAGGGAGGGTATCGGGGAGGCTTTCATTGGGGAAGGTGGATATATGGAGCCTAGCCTTCCTCATGACATCCCTTCTTGTCCCAATGGTTAGAACTGGTGACTTCATGACTGTTAGTCCCGATGGTGACGGGGTCAAAATGGGTTCGGGCGACTCGAGGTGAGGTTGGGGCCGAAAAGGTCGACGGGGGATGGTTTGGCGCGTGACTTGAGGGCCGAGCCTGCGGACGCAAACTGTTTGCGTGTACTCGCTGTGGCGAGCCCCAGTAAGGAATCGTAATTCCTTACATCGTAAGCCATTGGTGATGTAATACCACCCATATTCAGATTTGTGCTGTAAAGAATACAACACTTGGTCATCCATTTCACAATGAGTGGGGTACCTCTAGTTATGAATAGCAGGGGAGGAGAAATTATATATGATCCATCGTAAGGTTGTTGTAGGTGAAACCTTTCAATTATTTACACTCACTCTGGTCGGGCTCGGTGCCAATACACTTCTGCTCAGGCCTGATGGCGGGTGTCCAGAGACCATACAGCCTGGTGCCATACTGTAGCTGTGCCACCCACCCATCCCGCCACCACCATTCTTCATTCACAGTACAGGACAGTTCTGAACATCTGGCATCCCTCGGGAGACAGCCCGAGTTCGCCCGACAATGGGTCCGAGCCAGGGCTTGTGCTAACAGGGTAAATGCCAGTTTTTGACTGATTTTCAAGGCAGATTGTGGCTGGACCCTTTAGCTCAAAGGGTCCGCTAGAAACCCTCCCGTAAAGTTAAGGGCTGTTTTTGGCACCAGCCTTTCTGTACGGAGAGTTTTCGGGGAAACCCGTTTCTTCTTAACTCTACCCCCCCCCCCCCAAACCCCGCCTCACCCCGCCCCCTTAGGTTTGTCATTTCATACCTGTCAAATTGCACAGCCCCTCTCTGCCTTGTCTCACTCTTGCATAATCATAAAGCAAACCAATATTCGAGCCTCAAGTCTGTCTGAGACAATGTGTGTATAGGTGTCCATGCCAATGCTAGGGCAGAATATCATGCCTCCGGATTTTGTTGCGCGTGTGGTAAATGGAGGCCTTACTGATCCCTACCGACTGCCTCAGTGGTTGTGCAATTTCTGTAGCCCAAGGAAGTCTTGTTCGAGTCCTACGAGTGGTTTTCGTGGAAGCTCTTTTTTTCTAAGGGACGATTTTTTCTGAGCCGTCATTTTATGAAAAACTTTTGAGGGCCACCCTTTCTTTCCGAGCACCCAAAAACCTAGCACAAGCCCTGGTCCGAGCCATGCGATGCGAGCAGCCATTTCCCCATCGCTGGTCCCTTTCCCCCACAGGAAATCACATGGCCAGACTTCCATTCAATCTGCATCTGACGAGTTCGCAAGCACGCCAGAAGGCTTTGATGCTCAGCAGGGTCAGGGCTCAGGAGGAATCCAGTTAGCACTTGAGTCTCAGCAGCGATGGTTGCGCCTTTCTTGCATATCTAGTGCTCACACCTCCATTTCTCACTCCTGACTCGCTCTCTAACGATTATTTTGGCGGCTTCTGACGGTACGACTCGCAGGCATGGGTTTGCACCGCTATCTGATGTCGCGAGTTTCGATACTGCTCGTCCTGGCGGCGATTTGGAGAGCGTCCATTGGGGTGCGTGGCGCTTTCGCGTGGTACATTCCGCCGCCCGGCACGTCCTTCTACTGGCAGCTCTCAGGCTCGCAGCCAGGTCGGTTCGTCACACATCGTCGTGCACATGCGGTTTTGTCGCAGCCAGTTCCAATCGTCGCATTAGGTCGGTTTGTCGCATGGTCTGTCGCAGAGATGTGTGCTTGTGCGGAAACGTGCTCGTCGCGCTATTATGTTTCTCTTTTCCGTCCCCCGCATAAGTGTTGAACTGATAACGTCCCAAAATCCCCAACAGCAACTTTATTTCCGTATCCCGCTGCGCTCCCCCGCTTTTCCCCGTAACCCGCTGCGCTCCCCAGCGCTACCCCGCAGTTCTGGTGGACGCTGCTTGAACGCGCAGGCCTACGAAGGTCGGCGACTTTGCGAATCTCTCCGTCGGTCACCCGGAGCTGACCACCTGATGCTTGCCTTCCTCTTCCAGGTCCACGCGAGCGTGCGCGCGCGGGTTTACGGCGTCGTCTCCGGCAACATCAACGGTTTCGAGATTCTCCACTCCGTCTCCAAAAATCTTACTCGCCCGTTCTTATGCCTCGCTCCCGCAGGTCACGTCAACACAACAGTCAACGCGTAGGTGCACCCCGTACGAGTAACACTCAAGTTACTCGTATTCCGCCAACCCCGCTGGTCTGGCCGACACGACGGTGAACGCGCAGGTGTACGACATCGACGGCTTGGAATTCATCAAGTTGTTTCCGATTCCCCCTGGTCTGCCAGGTCTGGTGGACATGACGGTGAACGCCCAGGTGTACGACATCGACGGCTTCGCGACGTCGGCGGCGACGATCGCGCGGCTGCACGCGGCGGGGCGCAAGGTGGTGTGCTACTTCAGCTTCGGGTCCGCGGAGGACTACCGCAGCGACTACTCGCAGTTCCCAAGGTCCACGCTCGGCGGACTTGTGTGCAACGTAAGCGCCCCACTGCTCGACGCCCCTCTGCTCCCCAATCCCCAATCTCCTCGTGATACATAAATATTTACTTCTCTTCGCTTCTGCATCCGTAGCACCTTCTCTCCCTGTAACACCCCCGCTATGCTCCCCCACCCCCCTCCCCCGCCGCTCAAAACCCCGTACCCTTTCGCGCCCTCCCCGCCAATCAGAGTGACGACTGCTCGGAAGTGTGGGAGGGCGAGCGGTGGCTGGACGTCCGCAGCAGCGTGGTGCGGAGTGTACTGGAGAAGCGCGTTCAGGTACAGGACGATACACATGTACTTATCATGCTTATAATGCCATAACGTTGTACAAAAACACAAATCTGTTGTTTTCACACAAGACAGAAAATATTGGTCCATGCTAGATATGCAATGCTGTGAAATCTCACAATTTTCTTTTTTTCTCAAACACTCACTCCCTCCTCCCACTTCCTTCCCGTCCAGCTATTGCATGATCCCTTGGGTCAATAGACGTCCCATAAGTTGGGCGTCCCATAGTTGTTGATATGTATTGCCCTCTCGACCTCGTCACTTCACGACCCTCGCTCTGCCATCTCTCCCTGCCGTGCCTCATCTCCCTCACCCTCTTGCATCCAACGTCGCTCCCTGATGTGTGCATGCCAGCTAGCAAAGCGCAAGGGGTGTGACAGCATAGAGCCGGACAACCTGGACGCGTGGAGCAACAACATCATGTACAAGACGATCAGCCGCTTCAAGATCACCGCCGCTGACCAGGCCAACTTCAACTTCTGGATCGCCCGCACCGTGCACAAGTAGGTCGTGTTGGTACAGTGTAATATGTTCATATCTTTCCCGAAAGAAAAAAAAAACAAACAAACAAACATCAGCAGCACCACCCTGCACAGGTAGACCGTGTCCATTCAAGGGTTTGGGGTGCGACTCCGCTGAATCAGGTGAGGGCTGGCTGTGTGGTTCCTAGTGGCTCTGCAAACAGCCAAACAGCCGCAAACCCTCTGGATCACCACCTCCGTACACATATACGGGCGTATTTCTGGCAGTTGTCAAGATTGAGAAAGTGTCATCCGTGAATCGTGGATGCCGGAGATGCACAAGAGCTTTTCCTGAATCCGTAATTCACGGATGACACTTTGACACCTGCCAGAAATTCGCCCTAATCTGCTTTTCAGCTTCCTGCTATTTGCGTATGTTCCGTCCACATTCTCCCCTTCGCGTTCCGCTCCTTTGCCCCAAATTCCAAAACGCAACGCCTTGCACCCAAAGCCTCATCCTCTTCCTTGTTGCTCCCACAGCACGTTGAAGAGGCTCGCTAGAGGAAGCATTTGTCCCGCCCCTCCCTCCCTTCAAAGAGGTCACTCAATCCCCTATCGTTGACCAAACCTGACCGCCACATGCCCTCCCTTCTCTCTCACCTCCAGGTACGGCATGTCAGTAGGGCTCAAGAACCCTGGCAGCCTCCTCCCAGCACAGATGGGAGCAGCCTTTGACTGGGCCTTAGTGGAGCAGTGCAACCAGTACAGCGACTGGAGCCAGGGCTTGTGGTACAGTGGCAAGTACGGGTGCGACTATGCCAACGAGTTTGTCGTGCGCGGCAAGGCCGTGTTCATTGCGGAATATACGGACAGCTGGGGGACTACTGCAGGCAGGAAGAATGGCATCCAGTTTCCCCAGGTGAGCTGTGCACTCATGCCTCGCAGGTTAGCATTCAGACATTGAACTGGACCGTTGAGTTAGCTTTGCCAAGGAAGGCGGTGCTCCTTGCTGCACAGAGCATTGGGAGCTGCTGGATAGCAGCAGGAGAGGAGGAATGGGATCTCTTTCCCCAAGTGAGATCTTGCACGTGTATGATGATCTAATCTCAATACCTCATGTTCTGGAACTTTCAGCTCAAATGTTCGTACCAGTAGTTCGTTGAGAGTGCTTTTTAGAATTCTCAGAAGCACCCTGCAAAATGATGCTTATTCGCACCAGTAGTTCGTTGATATCTTTCTCAATAACGGTCACGATGACCAAAAACTGCTGTTACTGGTATGTTGGCTCCTTGTTGCAGTGGCGGTAGTTTACAGGGTGCCCTGAGGAGGGAGGAGGGAGGCCTGGTGGTGTCCCTTTGTTTTCCCAGAGCGGATCTCTGATATTTTGGTGCGTCACGTTTTTCTGATATTCATCTTTTTATGTTGCTTGACTGGACACAACACGCTGAGGAGCACATCTCCCTCCCTTCTTGATGCACTCATTATTTATGGTGTGGATCACCTGTTCTCGGATTTACCACACACCTGTACAGCCTCGATCTGGACGTGCACCACCGCAGCACCTTGGCTGCCTCCTTGTACCACACTTCCGTACCCCTCCTTTCCCTTGCAGGCCTTGTGTGCTGACTGCCGACCGCCACGCTTACTGCTTCATAACTCCAGGCCTTTCTCTCCAGTAATCCACATTGATCTTTCGCCCTCTGCCCCTTCCTCCCCTCCGCAGGCCATATGTCTGGGCAACAATACACGCAGGTTCGCAATGACCTCTACAGCATGGATCTGGGGATCGGCTACCTTCTCGTCCTCATCAGACTATTAGCCCCTCCACTGTTTCTGCTTCCCCCCTGCAGCCTCAATGTGTGCCGACAACAGCGCCCACGGCTTCACAAGGCGTCTTGACAATATGGACATCGAGCCCGGGCTACCGCTACCCCTTTGCCGACACCTCTTTCCCTTGCTGCCTCTTCACTTCCTCGCCCTGTGCAGGCCATGTGTGCCGACAACAACGCACATGGCTTCACGACACGTCTCTACAACATGGACCTCGAACCAGGGTACCGCTACCCCTTTGCTGACTGCCTCCGGCACAAGCCCGCGGGGTGTGATGGCGTGTGGAGGCAGTGCATCAAGCCCGCCGTTTACCAGCCGTTCTTGCAGAGCGGTATGAAGCGGTGGGATGCAGTGGGGCAGTGCATGCGAAGCAAGGTAGCACAGTGCGCGTATAAGTAGCCATTTGATTAATTATTGAGGTTGTTGTGATAATATCTTAAAGCATTTCTGCAAGTAGTTCCGATAGATATTGTTGTGTTACACTATAGTTCGCATCCATAGAATGGCGTCAGCAAATAGCGTTCGTCTGGATGATTACGTCAGTAGGCCGTTTCAGTCATGCTAACAGTCGCGCTCTTTTCAGTAGCGGTTAGCGGTTAGGGCGCATAGCGCAAATACTTTTGAGCAGGTACATTATCGAATAGGTACTTCTAGCAGATATAGAAGTAGTTAGTACTGTCAAACATGTGTCCTCTCACAGTGGTTGGACTAGTAGTGCCGCCCTGTACTCGTTCTTGCCTTGTCTGTACTCCTTCTGACTGGTCTTTTAGACCCTTGTCTTAGAGGCTGGACTAGTAGTGCCACCCTGAGCTGCTTGTCTAGAACATTCCCCTATGCAGTCCAGGGGGTGTGTCAAACATGTGTAGTTATCATGTTTGTATAGACTGTATAGGGTCACCTTCTAGAGAGTACAACATTTAGGTATATATTTGTGTACTCTCTCTCTCTCATTATTAAAATTCTAGGTTTGATATGGTATCAGAGCAGGTTTCGGCCCCCCCCCCCCCACCTACCGCTTCCGCTCCTCCCGTCGCGTCTCCTAGCCTCGCCTCGCCCCTCCTGACCCCAGTCGCGACCCCTCCCCCTAGCCCCGTCGCGCCCCTTCCAGGGCCTCGTAGCGCCCCTCCAGGCCCCGTCGCGCCCCCCCTTCCAGGGCTTCGTAACGCCCCTCCAGGCCCCCGTCGCGCCCCTCCCGGGCTCTGTAGCGCCCCTCCAGGGCCCCGTCGCGCCCCCTAGCGCCCCTCCTGGGCCCCGTAGCGCCCCTCCAGGGCCCTGTCGCGCCCCTTCGCGCCCCTCCTGGGCCCCGTAGCGCCCCTCCAGGGCCCCGTCGCGCCCCTTTGCGCCCCTCCTGGGCCCCGTCGCGCTCCTCACAGGCCTCGTAGCGCCCCGTAGCGCCCCTCCTGGGCCTCGTCGCGCCCCTCCTGGGTTTCGTAGCGCCCCTCCTGGGCTTCGTAACGCCCCTCCCAGGCCCCGTCGCGCCCCTCCTGGGCTACGTAGCGCCCCTACTGGGACCCGTCGCGCCCTCCCTGGGCCCTGTAGCGCCCCTCCTGGGCCCCGTCGCGCCCCTCCTAGGCCCGTAGTGCCCCTCCTGGGCCCGTAGCGCCCCTCCTGGGCCCCCCATTGCGCCCCTCCTGAGCCCCCATTGCGCCCCTCCTGGGCCCCCATTGCGCCCCTCCTGGGCCCGTAGCGCCCCTCCTGGGCCTGTTGCGCCCCTCCTGGGCCCTGCCGCGCTCCTCCCTGGGCCCCGTATCCACCCTCCTGGGCCCCGTCGCCCCTGCTCGGCCCCGTCGCCCCTGCTCGGCCCCGTCGCCCCAGCTCGGCCCTGTCGCAGCCTCTCGGCCCCGTGGCGCCCGCCCTGCCCCTGTCGCAGCTGCCCGGCCCCTGTCGCACCTGCCCGGCCCCGTCGCGCCCGCCCGGCCCCGTCGCCCCCGCCCGGCCCTGCTGTGTCCTGCCCGGCCCCGTCGCTGCCGCCCGGCCCTGTCGCTGCCGCCCGGCCTCGTAGCTGCCGCCCGGCCCTGTCGCTGCCGCCCGGCCTCGTAGCTGCCGCCCGGCCTTGTCGCTGCCGCCCGGCCCCGTCGCAGCCGCCCGGCCCCTCGTCGCGCCTGCCCGGCCCCGTCGCGCCTGCCCGGCCCCGTCGCGCCTGCCCGGCCTCGACGTGCCTGCCCGGCCCCGTCGCGCCTGCCCGGCCCCGTCGCGCCTGCCCCGGCCCTTCATACTTCCTGGTACTGTCCCCCGTTCCCCGCACCACTTTGCACCCTCCTGCACTTTCCTGCCCCGCCTTGCACCGCATTGCACCTCACTGAACCGCACTGACCGCACTGCATCGCACTGCACCGCACTGGACCGCACTGCACCGCCCTGCACCGCATTGCACAGCACTACACCGCACTCCACTGTCCTCCACTGCCCCTCATGGCTGCTGAGCTTCGTTTTGATGCTGAGGGTCAGCCTCTGGAGTTCGAGGCGTGGTTGGCTGACCTTCGCCGCCACCTCACTGGTCAGCGGCAGGACGGCCACCCGCTTTCTGCACACCTAGACGGTATGCTCCCCTGCCCTGACCCCCCTGCTGTGCTGCCCGCTGATCCCACGCCCGCTGAGCGCGAGTCCTCTGTCGCCGCTGCCCTTGCCCGCTCTGTCTGGCTTTCCCGCGATGCCCTTGCTCAGCTCGCCATTAGCAATGCCCTCCCCCCCCTTGAGCGCCCTCGCTTTAGAACCATTTCTACCGCCCAGGCCTACCTCGATGCTGTCATCAAGCGCTATTCTACCCCTCCTGCTGCCTCAGTGGGTCGCTGATCCTCCCCCTGCTCTTTCCTGACCTGGCGTCCTTCCCCACTGTCTCTGACCTCGCTGCCCACCTGCGCTCGATAGATGAGGCCTGGCGCGCTGCCTGCACTGATGCACAGCTTAGAGTCCACCAGCCTCCCATGACCTCTACCATCTACCTCCTTGCCACCCGCCTCCCTGACCGCCTTGCCGCCGCCCGCGACCAGTTCCTTAGCATCCACCCTGCTGCTCTCACCCTCACCGACTTTGTTGACACCCTGACTGCCATAGAGACTCGTCACCGCTCCATAGCCCAGGCGAGCGGTACAGTACCGGTCCCTATCTTTCAGGGTTGTGCCCCCGCTCAGTGTACCTTCTCTGACGGCTCTGTCGCTGTGGCTGAGACTGCTGCTGCAGTGCAGTCCCGCTCGGGGAAGGGCCGCCGCCCCAAGGTTGGGAGCGGCGGCGGTGGCGGGGGTGCGGGTGGGGGTAGTGGTGGAGGCAGGTCGTCCGGTGCCGGTGCGGACGTGGGGACCCTGCCCGGTCCAGCTGCCCCGCTGCCTCCACCGTTGCAGCAGCCGCAGCAGCAGCAGCCTCCGCAGCAGCCGCAGCAGCCGCCGCAGACGAGGCCGGCGAGTGCTCTCCCGCCTGGGTGGCCTGGAGCTGGTGGTGGTCGTGCGCGTGGTGGTGCACCGGGTGGTGGTTCTGGAGGCGGGCCCTGTCAGTACCAGATCCAGACCGGTCCTCGCCGCGGCTTCGTTTGCGGTAAGATCGGTCATTCCACTCCTCGCTGTTTTCGTCGTCTGGACGACCTGTTCCGCCAGCGCTTTGGCCCGGCGCCCGACCTCCCGGACTGGCACAGCTTGCTTAGACGTAGCATTCGGATTTTTGACTTGGACATGGATGCCATTGTAGCAGCCTTGCATGTGATGTATGCCGATGACTCTAGTGTGCTTCCCTCTTATTACCCCGTGTTGCCTAGTGTAGCTGTGCCTAGCGTAGACTCCCCTGCTGCGTCAGGCGTAGGATCTCCTGCTTTGCTTAGCCTCGGTGCTTCCACCGCTTCACTGTCGCCCCGCGCGACTGCTGCGCTTTCCTTCACCTTGGACTCTGGCGCCTCCCGGTGTTTCTTCCGCGACTCCACGACGCTGACGCCGCTGCCTGTTCCCGCTGCAGTTACTCTTGCTGACCCCTCCGGTGGTCCCGTCGTTGCCCGCAGTTCCACCTCCCTTCCCTGTCCGGCGGTTCCTTCAGGTTCGCTCACCGGTCTGCATATCCCCTCGTTCTCCAGGAACCTAGTTGGTGTCGGCTGCCTCCAGGACCTTGGCGTCACCACTACGTTCCCTGGTCACGAGCGGTATGCTGTCTGTACCGAGGCCGCCACTGGTGCCCCCCTTACCACTTTCCCCCGGGACCCGGTGTCCGGCCTGTTCACACTTGACACCGCGACGTCCCCGGCTGGGTCTTCCCCCCAGGTAGCTGCGTCCACCCAGGTTGCTGCTGCGTGCTCCTGTCGGTCCCTCACTCATCCGACTCTCCTTTGGCACCACCGCCTTGGTCACCCTGCACTCCCGCGTCTGCGTCACATGTCCCAGCACGATCTCGTCCTTGGTCTCCCCGGTTCGTTCCCTGAGTTTCCCTCATCCCCCGCCCCACCGTGCACGCCTTGTGTCGAGGGCCGGCTCCGCCGTGCCCCTCACTCCTCCTCTTTTCCCCCTACCACCGCACCCCTGCAGACTCTGCACATGGACGTCTGGGGCCCAGCCCCGGTCCATGGGCCGCGTCGCGAGCGCTTCTTCCTAGTGCTTGTCGACGACTTCACACGTTACACCACCGTCTTTCCCCTGGAGCGGAAGGCCGACGTGCCTGACGTTCTCATCCCCTGGCTTGTCTCTGCTCGTCTCCACCGCGGTCTCCCTGCCTTGCGCCTCCACTCCGACCGGGGTGGCGAGTTCGCCTCAGGTGTCCTTGGTCGCTTCTGTCGTGCGGAGGGCATCACCCAGACGTTTACCCTGCCGGACTCCCCGCAGCAGAATGGGGTTGCTGAGCGACGCATCGGTTTGGTCATGGAGGTGGCTCGCACCTCCATGATCCACGCCGGTGCACCCCATTTTCTGTGGCCGTTCGCCGTGCGCTACGCCGCTCACCAGCTTAACCTGTGGCCGCACCCCCAGCGGCCGCAGGTTTCGCCGACCCTTCTGTGGGCCGGGTCCCCTGGTGACGCGTCTGCGTTCCACGTCTGGGGCTGCCTTGCTCACGTTCGTGCCTCTGGCACGGACAAGCTCACTGCCCGCACCCTCCCCTGCGTCTTCCTCGGTTTCCCCCTTGACGCGTCCGACTGGCACTTCTACCACCCGCCGTCTCACCGTTTCTTTCACTCTCGCGACGTCACCTTTGACGAGTCCGTCTCCTTCTACCGCCGCTTTCCCCACCGTGGTCCCCCGGTTACTCCCCCCCTGTTCCTGGTTCCTCCATCCCTGGTGGCCCCTGCCCCTCCCCCCCCCCCGCCCCCCCGTCCGGCCCCCTCTGGTGTGTCTCACGTCACCCCCCTCCCGTCGGTCGTTCCGGTCGACGAGTCTTCTGACTCTGGTAGTCCTTTGGCGCAGTCCTCGCCGTCTGTCCCTCCCCCGGTGTCTCCTCCTCCACCGCCTCCGCAGCCGCCGTCGCCGCAGCTGCTGCAGCCGTCGTCTCCGCCGCCGCCGCCGTCGAGGCCGTCGCTGCAGCCGCCGCCGCCGCCGCCGCCGTCGTCGCTGCCGCTGTTTGTGGACTCTGGGGGTGCTGGCGTTGAGGTGGGTACTAGTCCCGCGGCTCCTGTCGGGGCTTGTCCCGGCGGGCCTGGGGGTGGTACCGGTGCTGGCGGTGTTTCGGGCTCTGGGGGTGTCCCTTCTGGGGGTGCCGGTGTGGAGGGTTCGGGAGGTAGCCGTCGCGCAGCTTGTGGCCCTGGTGTTGGTGTTGTGTCGCCGCAGCAGCAGTCCCCGCCGGTGTCCGCCCTCCGTCTGCTCGGCCTTCCGTCCCCTGACCCTGCGCCTGTTCCTCTCCGGCCGTCTCCCCCTCTTCCCGTCTACGGCCCCGCGTTCCCTCCGCCGGACTCGTCCCCGGCTCGTTTTCCCCCTCGTTCCCCACGCGTGTCCCCTCCTCTGTCTCCTGACCCGACGCCGCCCTCTCACGTTTGGTCTCGCCGCCCCTCCCGTGCTCGTCCTGTCTCCCCCGTCCCGCGCACTCACCCTATGTTGCTCCGCTCCCACGCGTCTCGTCCTCCCCTCCTCCCGTCTCCTCCTCCGTCCTCTCTTGTCGTTGCGTCTCCTCCTCTGTCTGACTACTTTCGTGCCGCTCGTCCTCTTGTTCCTCGGGTCCTTGCCTCTCTTGTTACCGACCCGTCAGTTCCCGTGTCGAGTCTTGACGCCCTTGTCGCTGCGGTCGCTGACTTCGCCTCTACCCGCCGCCTTGACTACGCCTCCGCTCTGGTCTCTGACCCTGCCTGTCCTCCGTCTGTCGGGGGTGCTCCTGCCCTCGGCAGTGACGTCCTGGAGGACCGCCAAGTTGAGCTTGCTTTCCTGTCCGAGGCTGCTCCCCATCTCTGTTCCATGCTGCTAGTCCCTGAGGGTGACCCAGACGCTTTTGACATCCCGACCCCTCGTACTTACGCTGAGGCGGTTTCGGGACCTTGGGCCTCTCAGTGGATAGCTGCCATGGAGCAGGAGATGGCATCTTGGAGATCCACCGGCACCTTCGTCGACGCAGTTCCCCCACCTGGGGTGAACGTGGTCGATGGCCGTTGGCTCTTCAAGGTGAAGCGCCCTCCTGGAGAGCCGCCTGTGTTCAAGGCGCGTTACGTGGCTAGAGGCTTCAGTCAGCGTGAGGGGGTGGACTTCTTTCAGACTTTCGCTCCTACCCCGAAGATGACTACTCTTCGGGTTCTGCTACACGTAGCGGCCCAGCGTGACTACGAGCTTCACTCCCTCGACTTCTCCACTGCCTTTCTTCAGGGCAGCCTTCACGAGCAGGTCTACCTGCGTCGTCCTCAGGGCTTTACTGGCACCTTCCCCCCTGGGACCCAGTGGCTTCTGCGGCGCCCAGTCTACGGCCTGCGCCAGGCGCCTCGTGAGTGGCACGACACGCTGCGTGCTACTCTTGCTGACCTGCAGTTCTTTCCGTCCTCTGCAGACCCCTCGCTCTTCGTTCGTGCTGGCTCGACTCCGTTCTACATCCTCGTCTACGTAGACGACCTGGTCTTTGCCACAGCTGACAGGGACGCACTGGCCTCCGTGAAGGCAGAGCTGCTGAAGAGACACACCTGCACTGACCTTGGAGAGCTGCGCCGTTACCTTGGCTTGCAGATCTCCAGGGACAGAGCCGCGCGCACCATCACCCTGACTCAGTCACACTTGGTGCGCCAGGTCCTTCAGAGGTTCGGCCTTCAGTTCTCCTCCGCACAGCCCACCCCTCTTCCTCTGGACCACAGACTCTCCGCTCCAGTTCCTGAGGAGTCGGTAGATCCCAGTGGTCCTTACGCTGAGCTAGTGGGTTGCCTCATGTACCTGATGACTTGCACTCGCCCAGATCTCGCATACCCTCTCACCATCCTGGCTCGTTTTGTGGCCACAGGCAGACACCGACCTCAGCACTGGTCTGCCGCTAAGAGGGTTTTGCGTTATCTTGCAAGTACATCGGGCATGGGGTTAGTGCTAGGCGGACGCAGGCCAGTGGTCCTTACTGGACACACAGACGCTTCTTGGGCAGACGACGCCGAGACGCTCAGGTCTTCCCAGGGCTACTGCTTTAGCCTTGGCTCAGGTGCTGTCTCGTGGAGAGCTACCCGCTCCTCGTCTGTTGCCCAGTCCAGCTGTGAGGCTGAGATCTACGCCGGTGCCATGGCGGCACAGGAGCTCCGCTGGCTGACCTTCTTGCTCACTGACTTAGGTGAGCGGCCTAGCTCTGCCCCGGTCCTGTACGCTGACAACAGGGCCATGATTCTCCTGTGTCAGGAGCCTCGACTCGAGGGCAGAGCGAAGCACATCCAGCTGCGGTACTTCCTCCTGCGCGAGCTACAGCAGCGTCGCCAGGCTCGCGTAGTACACTTGGCCTCCGGTGCCAACACAGCTGATATCTTTACGAAGGCGCTTGCGCCTAAAGATCATCAGCGGCACTGTTTACAGCTTGGTCTGGTTCCTGTAGTCTCTCACTTACTCGGGCTTTGACTTTGTACTGTTGTATATATATATATGTATACACTCAGACTGGACTTGTGTCCTCTCACAGTGGTTGGACTAGTAGTGCCGCCCTGTACTCGTTCTTGCCTTGTCTGTACTCCTTCTGACTGGTCTTTTAGACCCTTGTCTCAGAGGCTGGACTAGTAGTGCCACCCTGAGCTGCTTGTCTAGAACATTCCCCTATGCAGTCCAGGGGGTGTGTCAAACATGTGTAGTTATCATGTTTGTATAGACTGTATAGGGTCACCTTCTAGAGAGTACAACATTTAGGTATATGTTTGTGTACTCTCTCTCTCTCATTATTAAAATTCTAGGTTTGATAAGTACAACTTCAGTTATTAATTGTCAATACCGTATATAAGTTATATATAATTGATAGGCTTGATAGTTGATACTGAACCTTTCTGTAGAGGGTACAATCCCCTCCTTGTACTCCTCTCTCTTCCTAATCGTTATCTCTTCTTTCTCGACTTTTCTCCTCACGTTCCTAGTGAAATAAATCGCTTGATGTTGTAGTAGACTAAGTATAAAACTATAAACACGAACACTTCGCAAATCCTCAAGTGTTGGTCCAGGATCTTTGCTGGAATGGGAGACTAGTAAGACAGCGGAAGTCTTGTAAAATATTAAGGTCAAGGTTGAATAACCTGAGTACGTGAACTTGTGAGTAATCAAAGTTAATAATGAAAAGACCTAACAAGTATTTATAGTTCTACGAAATGTACCTATTCGCTAATGTACCTGTTCGTCACTATCGCGCTATGCGCCCTAGATGATAATGAAGAGGTGCGACTGTTCACGTGACTGAAACGACTGTCCTATGACGAGCGCTATTTGCTGACGTCATCCTACGGACTTATCTTCTACAATATGATTCGACACTAACTACACTAACTACACTTAATCGACTTACAGAAATGCTAAGTATCAATTATATCACAACAATCCCCTTCCTTTCTGGAAGTTCGATAGTGTCACTTCTTGAAGATTCCGCAGAGCTTGTTACAGAACTGAAACTTCTGTCGTGTCAGTTTCTTCGTAAGAAAACCGGCAGCCATTTCGTTGGTCGAACAGTAGACCAATCGTATCCTCCCCTTCTCGACTTCATCTTTGACGAAAAAGTAACGAAGCGAAATATGCTTCGTCCTGTTGACGAAACCAGGCTGGTGTGCGATGCGAATTGCACCTTGATTGTCGCACTGAAGGGTAAACTGGATAGTTGTCGTCAACTGTGCTTCTTCCAATAGTTCCTGTAAGTAAAGTCCTTCGCGTGTTCCTGTGCAGACAGCAATAAACCTAGCTTCAGAAGAGGAGAGAGCAATCAACTCCTGCTTCGTCGAATTCCAAGAGATATGCCCAATAGGTTCAAGCCGATAGATGAATCCAATGCGTGACCATCGATTACCGTATTAGCCCGGATAGAAGACCCCCTAGTAATAGAAGACCCTGGGTCTTATAGTAGGCGTCTATCTTGTATTATGGCATTCCGTTTATAAGACCCTCACTTGGCGGTATGAGATAAGCCCCCCCCCCCCCCTTTTTTTAAGATGTTATTCTAGTATGGCAAAATTCTATGCATTCAGTCATCAATGCAGATAGGACAAGAGTAGTCTCTTAGAAATCCTCATGGGTCTCCATAGTACTAAAATCACAGCCCCCCTCCTCCTCATCTACTGGTCCTCCTGGGGGGTGCTTGATGTAATCTAGCACCCCCCAGGCATGCCTCGCAGTGCTCTCATGCTCTGTCAGCTTCTCGGCTTCTGCTGCTGCGCCACGGCACTTCTTAGTCTCTGGGTACGGATCCTCCTCTCCTGGCTCTGGCGCTTCACCCCCCTCCTCCTCCTCCTCTCCCTCCTCTCCCTCCTCTCCCTCCTCTCCCGCCTCCCCCTCCTCTGCCTCCTGCTCTTCCACGAAACCTGCATTGTCACCACTCGTCCCTTGCAGGGACATGTCTTCAGAGACGTTGAGAGCTGGCTCCCCACGCATGTGCTGGAGCACCAAGTAGTTGTCTGTACCATCCATGGAGCTTGAAATGCCGCAGGTCTTGAATGCTCGCACGATGATGTCACGCGGCACATCGCGCCATGCTTGGTCAATCCACTTCAGTACCACGGGGTGGGGCGGGCGGCGCAGGTTTCCTGGAGTAGGGATTTCATGGAGCACTAGCAAAGGCATCAGTCACGGATTTGACAGGCAAGTGATTCGAGCGAGAAAATCAGGGAAGAAGCCAGAAATGCGGGCAAGGTGCATTCAAGGTCACGGGCGGCGTGCATTCAGGGATGCGGGCGGGGAGAAATCAGAACTGCTGGCGTACCTTTGGCCGTGCGTAGGTTGATGCCGTGCTTTGCAAACCACTTTGCATAGCATGCCCTCACCCCCGCTTTAAAACACCTGTTGATGGAAACATCAAGGGGTTGAATCAGCGGAGTGCACCCAGCCGGAATGATGGCAGGGATGATGCAATGCGTCCTGTACGCGTGCTTCATCCCATCGGTGAGATGGCCACGGTACGAGTCTAGCACAAGCATGGCACGTCGTGCTGGCACCCCACGCTTCGGGTTGAGAAAGGGGAGAACCTCTTTCTCCAGCCACTTCTTGACGGCTGCCTCATCCATCCAGCCGTTCTCCTGCGCTTGCACTTCGACCCCTGCAGAACGCACGCACAAGTCGGATTTATGTGAGTCAAACAACAGGTCGTACGCTCACAGCATAGGAGGGTTCAGGAGTGCATGGAGAGCAAGACGTGGAAGGCTTACCCGAGGGACATTCACATTTGGGTATGGTCTTGCGCTTGAACCATACCCACGGCCGGAGCTTGTCGCCGCTGGCCGTGCATGCTAGCATCACGGTCAAGCGTTGCTTCTCGTATCCAGCGGTCTTCACCGGCACCGAACGGGACCCCTTCTGCTCCAACGTCCGGCCAGCTGGCATCTCCACGAAAAGAGGAGTTTGATCGGCATTGATGATGCGGCGTAAGTCCATCTGATGACAGGCATGGTTGATGCGAACAAACTTCCAAAACCCTTCACAGTCCGCGGCGCATTCTGTGGTGGGCGGGAAGGGGCAGGGGTGGAGGGGCCTTAGCAAGCGCATAGACACAAGACAGAGGCACGTCTCTGCACAAGAGACGAATGCAGAGACAGTGAACAGAAGCTTTGCATAACAGACAGATTCAAAGAACAAAGGCTCAGCACAGAGACAGACGCAGATACAGAGGCATACACTTACCCACAGGACACAAGAAGCTTACCTGGAGAGAGCTTCTGCCCAACCTTCGTTCGGCAGCGTAGTGTGAATCCCCACCGCTTGCGAAACTGTTGGCTCCATCGGTTCGACCCTTGCCACCTGGTACGTGGGTCGCGTCTGCGCATGTACTTTCGGCTCCATTCCCGAATGTCATTGACGCTGACCGCCAGGCCCCGACTCCGTTGCTCGCAGACATACTTGGCGAGCGCCTCCTCCATCTCGGGGTGATGCGCGTGTCGGCCAGAACCATGCAGCCTCTTCCTACACTTCGCAGCCCCCTTGTACTTTCCCGTCATATCTGCCTCCACCCAGCGGCGGATGGAGCACTGTCCGACACCCGCTTCTTGTGCCGTCCGCATGAGTGACCCCAGCTCGTGATACCGCAGCGCCCACCGCGCTTTCTCGCCGACCATGAAGCTGCGTCGCTGCTTCTTGTTGGCTTTACTACGCGGCGAGGGTGGTTGCGCATCGGGGTTCTTGGTCCTTGGATCACTGGGCTTCTTGCCTTCGGAGAACACGGGGATGGGGCCAGCCGCTTCCGCGTAGGCGTCGTCGGAGTTCTCCTCGGCCATATCGCCTTCCGGATGGCTGGTGTTCCGCTTGGCGGACTTTTGCGTGTCGTTGCCGGTGGCTCGCTTGCGTTTGCCAATGCCGTGCTCTTCCCGGGATTTTGCTTTCCCTTTCTCCTCCCTCGATAGCCGTCCACGCTTTGCTGGGGACTGTTTGGTCGGTTTCTTTCGCTTTGTTCCTCCGTGTTCGTCGTTGTTAGCACCGTCCAGCTGGCGCTTGCGACCTTGCACCTCGAAGAGAACACGGCGTTTCTGGATCGACATGTCCTCGTCCGACATGCCGCCCGCCTCATCGGTCGAGTTGTCGTTAGTGGCATCGCACTCGACGCGTTCCATCTTGTCAGCCATCCGCTTCGAGCTCCGCAGCTTTGCCCCGCTACGACATCGCCCCGCCGACGCCGCTACTGCATCGAAGTCATCGTCGTCGTCAGCAGCGTCACCTGATTCGTCGCTCGTGTCGTCAGCAGCATCGTCAGCCTCGTCGTAGTCCACATCGTTGCCTTCCTCACCGCTCGGATACTCGCCCGCATCGTCACCCTCCCAGTACGCGTTCTTGTCGGCCGCATCATCGCCCACCCCGCATGCGTTCTCGTCGGCCGCATCGTCGCCCACCCCGCAGGCGTTCTCGTCGCCTGTAGCGGCACCATCCCCTCCGCCAGCATCGATGCCCGCGTGCCATTCTTCTACTTCATCGTCGGATCCGATGGGCCTTGCCCACCATTCGTCTTCGTCGTCAGCGGCGTTGCACGCCGAGCCGTCCGCGTCGCTGCCCCCATCGTCTGCATCGTCGTTAGAAGCCGTGAGGGGAGAATCACGGCGGGGTGAACGACTCGCAGAGGCCTTTCGGACAGGCCGAACACTACCGTTGATGGTATCGCCAGGGGAGTTAACTCTACCAAGAATGTTGACGTACACCCTTGGTGGTGTAATACCTGCTGAAGGGCGCCGTCCGCCATGAGTCTCCCTCTATGGCGGACGGTGCTTGCTACGCATCTCGCTAAGCCACAGATGGCTAAGGCACGGCAGGCAGAGGCACACCAGGCTGATGCATTTTTCGAGAACGTGAGATGCAAATGAGCAGAAGAGGGGGTCCACCCACCTGCGACAACACTGCCACAATTCACTTTGTGGTTCCCCGTAGAGGAATCTGTCCCCGCTGAGGACGCTTTGCTGACGCATCATGTGGCAGCCTATCGTATCCGCTGGATTTGTGTGAGCTAACGCCAGATAAACGGTTGGGATGGTTGAAACGTGACGTCCAGTTGATTAGGGTTGCAGAATACCTGCCAACACACCCTCGTCCCTCACTTGCTGCATCTCACACGTGTCCAACTGACCCTAAACTCTTATCGCCAACAAAATCGGCCCCTTAATGACATCTTCAATATGAGAACGGTTCACAGACCTCTGGTGTAACTACTCCAGGTTTTTTCCAGTGAGGTTACGATGGTTCCGTTTATAAGACCCCCATACATGTTGTTTTTTCGCATTTATAAGACACTCTGGGCTTTTTTCTAACGGTATGTGATAAGACCCATGAGTCTTCTATCCGGGCTAATACGGTAGTAGAATCAGCAGTGTGATCGGCGTCGACAAAACCATGTAGGGAGAGCGTTTTACAATTGATGACGTTGTAGACTAGACCGACGTCAGGTGTCGAAACGAAGTACTGAAGCGCGCGGAGAAGATCAAGCTGATGCTCTTCCTCAGGACAGCGTAGGAACTGAGCGAGCTGACTGGCCGCATAGGCTAGATCAGGACGACAAGTGACAGCGGCGAAGAGGAGACAGCCTAACTGCTGTTGATAGATCTGTAAATCGGTTGAATTTAACAGTGCGGTGTTCGGTTTGTGGTCAGTCGGTAGTGAGCGGTACGGTGTAGAGACTGCAGTAGGTGTGAGGTTGAAGCGGGCAGCGAGTGTTGCTGCATACTTCGAAGCGGTGAGATGAATAGTTGTCAGTGAACAGGTAATGTTCAGACCAAGAAACTATGAGACTGTTTCGGAGATAGTAAGCTGTAGAGTTTTCTGTAATTTCAGTATGAAGATATCGGCAAGAGAATCGGTAGTACTGACGAATAGGATGTCATCGACGTAGGCGACGAGTAAAATATAGTTGTTGCCGTCGGTCAGTAGATACATTCCCTGGTCATGCGGTAGTTGACGAAAACCGGCAGTGATCAGTTGTGAGTGGAGATACTGCTGCCAGAGCCGTGGTGCCTGTTTAATGTCGTATAGGGATTTTCGGAGACGGCAAATGCTCGGTGGGTTAGTAGTATAGGAATGCGGGTGCTCTACCAGGATAAGTGCGTGGACAGGCTTTAGAGAAAAGCAATCGACACGTCGATTTGTCGAAGTCGGAGATTACGGCAGGCGGCGACACAAAGTAGAATCCGAACGCTTGTATGTCGGCCAACAGGAGCAAAAGTTAATTCGTAGTCGATGCCGTAAGTCTGTTCGAACCCGCGGACGACCCATCGCGCCTTGAATTTCTCAAACGACCCATCTGCATTAGTCTTGACGCGGAAGACCCATTTTCTGGCAAGTACCTTCTTCCCTTTTACTTCTGAAGTCGGTATTAAATTCCATGTGCCGCGATTCTTGAGTGCTGCTAGCTCCTTGTCCATGGCTTCGCGCCATTTTTCTCGGTGAGGACTCGTAAGAGCTTGTCGAACGGTTTTCGGTTCAGGTACTTTACTGTCGTTGTACTGTACTAGGACTGCGAACCCCAGTATCTGTAATCCTATTTCTGTAAAGCGCGGACGTTCTTCGTTTGCACCTGCGAAATTTTCTTCTGGTCCTTCTTCCCCCCCAATTTTGTCAGGTGTAACACGAACTGCTTCGTCGGAGACGACGGGCATCGGCTGTTGTTGGCGATCTCGTTCGTAACTGAGATGAACTTCACGAACATCATCCTGGTCAGCATCTGCAAGAGGAATGAATTCAGGTATGCCGGTCGAGGTGACAGGTTCGGGAATGTCTGTTGCGGCAGCTTCGGAAGCTTTAGAAACATCCTCGTCCTGTACATAAGCTTCGGCTTCGTCAGTTGCAAATGCACGCGAGCCTTCGAACAGCCTGGCAGGGTTGGCAGCTGCTGTCTGGTGGGCACGAAAAACGGGCACGGTGAGTCTTTCATAGAAAAGACAATCACGTGATGGAACGACTTGATTGGAGCGAAGATCCAAAATCTTCCACGCGTGATACTGTTTTTCGATGCCAAGATGTACCCCCCATTTTGCTCGTTCGGAAATTTTTCCGAGTGCTGCGGTTGGAGGACGAAACTGTACAACACACCCGAAAACTCGTAAAAGTTTTGTGCTACCCACTGTACGTGTCCACTGCAAGTGTGGAGAAGAGAACTCGGGCAGGGACGTTGAAGAAAGAAGGTTGTGTAACAGCACTGCGTGGTCCATTGCATAAGGCCAAAAATGCGGTGGAAGGGCTGCATGCGTCAGCAAAGCACGCATCTTCTCCTGCAGAGTTTTGTTCATCCTTTCTGCTACCCCCATCTGTTGGTGTGCATGAGGCAGTGACTGCTTCCATTTGATGCCGAGTGTCTGAAGATACTCTGTGAAGGTGTTGCTGGTGTACTCCCCTGCACCATCACTATGAAATTCTTGCAGTTTCATGTTGGACTCTCGTTCAGCGACAGCGAGCCACGCGACGAAGACGGAGTGAGCGAGATGTCGCGCAGGTAAGTTTGCTGTCCAAACATAGCGTGTAGATGCTTCGATGAAAGTTATCACATACTTCTCGTCTTTAGGACCTGCTTCAGATAAGTTGAGTATGTCGCAGTAGACTTTCTGCATCAGTTTATAACGTGTTGAGCCAGGAAAATGACTGGGAAACGGATCGTGCGTAAGGTTGGCAACTGGACAAGTGGTGCAAACCGTCGGATGAGACTGCGGCTTCATCTCCATGCCATCAGGTAAAAGTAAACTATTTTTATCAAGAACTGCTGCTCGGATTGAATGATTAAGAATCCTTTGTGATGCGTGTCCTAACCGCTGATGCCATATATCTTCTGTGGCTTTGTGTCCTGATGATCGCATGTAGAAATCGGCGTTAGTATAAAAAGAAGAAAGAATGAAAGGAGAAAACGCTGACGACTTGTCAATTTCTCCGTTGACGAAATGGTTAAGAGGTTAAGTGACATTTGTTGGTGCTGCTGAAGTTGCGAGCATAACTTTGGACACTGCTTCTGTCGATGTCGTGGCAGGTATTTCTGCGACAACTACTGTTGGACTCGGCTGCTCAGCTACTGCTTCCTGTTTGGCTTCTTCAACAACGTCAGGTTCATCAGCTGCAAGACCACTTATCTCTTCCCAAAGTGGTGCTGGAGTTCCTTGGAAGGCTGTACGGGTATTATAAAACGTTCGCCACGCAGTGGCACTTTCATCGGCGGTATTGAACTCCCAGGTATCCAACGCGGTAAGTACGGCGGTTGCAGTTCGAGAAGTTGTTGGTACAGTAGTTGCTCGAAAATCAATGTCCACGTGTTGATAATCTGTTTCGTCTGGGTGATCCCAGGGACCAAGTGGAAGCACGCGTTCAGAATCGCCAGAAGTTCCCTGTGCTGCGAACTGAAGAACGGATGCGCCATGTTGAGTGGCGGCACGACCAAGATAAGTATTCGTCGAACTGTGCCAGAGCTCCTGATCCATCGTGTCACAATTGCCCTGTGTGCGGATTTTGTGTGCCAGGAGTTGAGCCGTGGAAAGAAGATTGAAGCCAAGACCAGCGACGATAAGAACATTAGTAACATGAAGTGAGTATCCCGTGTCGATAGATTCGAGCATGACACTTCCAACTGCTCGTGCCATAATAGTTTGTCCGTTTGCGACTGTTACAGGTATCGGACGACGAAGTGGACATTGATTGGTAATGAAGCTTGTTTCTGCTGAGCACATGTGCCAACCGCAACAACTGTCGAGATACCAGGTATTCGGACCTGAAATTATTCGAGCAAGGTTAGCGTAAACTTGAGGTGAAGGAATGCCTTCAGAACTTGTGGTTTCTTCAAGTCGTGTCTCGAAATCTGTTTCTGAAATATCAACTGTTGTAACACAACCAAAAACCCCTTTTCCTGATGTGGCAGATGCGAAGACCGGCGGGCGATGCTGTGACATTGATAAATTCTGCGTCGGTTTCGGCATCTGCTGCTGCTGAGACGTTAACTGCTGCTGAGGCAGTTGTGTCTTCGGTAACAGCTGCGATCGGTGATACGGCTGCGAAGTATTGCGACGAGGTTGATGACGGCTGCGACAGTTTTGGTAAGTATGTCCTGGTTTCTTACAGAAGTGGCAGAATGGATACTTTGGTGGATGTCGATGCTGATGTTCTGGATTGGAGTAAAAACTTAAATGAAGTCCCTTTTTTCTGATTTCATTGTGATTGCAGGTCAAGATCTTGCTGCTTTGCTTGAAGATAAGAAGAAATTTCGGCTTCGGAGAGATTAAGATTCATGCGCAGGAAGGCACGCATCTGTCGTCATTCGGGTCCAAGACAAGCCAGAAGTACCGTGAGATACATCTCACGAGGGAAGTATCCTCCGCTCTTTTCCAGTTGATCTCGTAGTGTACGGACACGGTTAACGTAGTCCATGACGTTTTCGTTTGTCATCATCTGCACACTTGTCAGCTGCGAAAGTATTTTACTCACTGTTATCGTATCGTTTGCCATGTATACCCCTTTCAGATGATTCCATGCAGTTTCGGCTGGTGTGAAACTTGAGTGAAATGATCGAACGCCGAGCTGCTCCTTCGGCGACAAGTTCCGTACAAGAACTATATACGCCCCGAGAGAGGCGTGCAAGAAACTCTGCTGCTCCAGTTGTGTTCCCACGACAGGGTACGTAAATTCGCCAGTGAAGAACGGCCATAGCCCAGCGGACTGTGCCAGAAGTTCAAACTCAAAGCTCCAGGAGTAGAAGTCAACACCATTAAAAGGTACGGTTGTCTTAATCTGAGTATTGTTAAGTAAATTTGGAGGCTGAAAAACAATGCCTGGCTATTGCTGTTGTTGCTCTTGCTGTTGTTGTTGTTGTTGTTGTTGTTGTTGTTGTTGTTGTTGTTGTTGTTGTTGTTGTTGTTGTTGTTGTTGTTGTTGTTGTTGTTGTTGTTGTTGTTGTTGTTGTTGTTGTTGTTGTTGTTGTTGTTGTTGTTGTTGTTGTTGTTGTTGTTGTTGTTGTTGTTGTTGTTGTTGTTGTTGTTGTTGTTGTTGTTGTTGTTGTTGTTGTTGTTGCTGTTGTTGTTGTTGTTGCTGTTGCTGTACTTGCTGTGGTTGCTGATACTGTTGTTGTTGTTGCTGAGTAGGGGATCGATCGAAGATATAGGATGGATGCTGAAACTGCTGCGACTGCGGCTGCTGTACGAAAGGTGAGAAAGCGAACAAACCAGTACTTGGAGCTGTAGCTCCACACATGTAACTTGAGCCGTCAAGGCTCATTCCACTAAACGCAGATGAAATCGATTGCGTTGAAACTGGTGGCTGTACTGACGCTTGTTGCTGTGCTGTTGTTTGTGATTGTTGCTGTTGCGCTGCAGTTGCAGTCGATGGAGCACCTGGAGTATTCACAGAAGGCGGATTCTGATGTTGCATACCGATATTAGCATAGGCTGGTGGAAAGTGCCCAGAGGCTGAGAGACCAGCGGCGGTAGTGGAGGCATATGCTCCAGTAGTTCCAGTAATTGATCCAGCAGATGGTGCTGGTGATGAACCAGTCATAGTTGACGGTAGTCTTCATTCCAGATAGCTCTAATACCATGAAATAAATCGTTTGATGTTGTAGTAGACTAAGTATAAAACTGTAAACACGAACACTCGGCAAATCCTCAAGTGTTGGTCCAGGATCTGTTATAATCACAATAGGCTTAGATGTGCCTATAATGAGAGATAGAGAGCACAGTCGGATTTCCGTCAGACGGCTTCAAATACTGATAACGATCTGGTCACTGAATCAAACGGTAATGTGTAGATTGGATCTGGAGCGTGTTGCTGTCGTCTATCAGCAGCAAGTTGAATCATGAAATTCCATGAAGATTTGACGACGCTATGGCGGTTTGACTGGCAGGAGGTATAGCAGCCACTATAGTCTTAGGAGTACAAACTTAGCAAGAAGAGTTTTAGAGGGAGATGGTTCCCAGCCTCTACATACCCCAAGAGCCGAGGTCCAGGTTGGTGGTACACCACCACAGAGTCTCCAACCATGAAGAGTCTCGAAACCAACCCTCCAAGGGGCTACCCCAAGTGAAATGTAACACTACACGAAGTAACGTTACTATTTTCACTATTTAATATTTATCCGCGTCCCTTGGGCTTGAAATCTTGAGCTCTTGTTCTTGGATCTGCAAGATAAATTCTTCTTGAGTTGATGGGGGCTTGCTGCACACACCTGCGACACGATGGACACTTCACACTCGGCAAAATAGAAAAAACACATGCGACACACAAACGACGACTTGACATGCGAGTTGTAAAAACTCGCTAATGTCTTGACGGACACAAGCCACACTGTGATACACCATTCAAACATTCACACAAGCACTAGATAGCAATGACATAGACTCACAATTCATTCCATGCCATGCATGCACACACACAAACAAGGACGACAAGCCGAGTGCAAGCCATAGGGTTGCACCAACAGGATCTTTGTTGGAATGGTAGACTAGTACGACAGCGGAAGTCTTGTAAAATATAAAGGTCAAGGTTGAATAACCTGAGTACGTGAACTTGTGAGTAATCAAAGTTAATAATGAAAGGACCTAACAAGTATTTATAGTTCTACGAAATGTACCTATTCGCTAATGTACCTGTTCGTCACTATCGCCCTAGATGATAATGAAGAGGTGCGACTGTTCGCGTGACTGGAACGACTGTCCTATGACGAGCGCTATTTGCTGTCGTCATCCTATGGACTTATCTTCTACAATATGATTCGACACTAATTATACTTAATCGACTTACAGAAATGCTAAGTATCAATTATATCACAACACCTAGATCTACTTTCCTCCCGCCATTTCATGGCATCCTTTCCTAGTATCTTAGCTGCCTAGTCAAGCTAGTGTCCTAAGTTTCTAAGATTAACTTGTTCTTGAGTAAATTTTGGTAAACACTTACAAGTTCTAAGACTTTCGCTGTCCTACTAGTCTACCATTCCAGCAAAGATCCTTGTTTAAGTCTTGAAGTATCACAAGGCTGTAACACTGACTTAGGTGTTACAACTTGTTAATATTGGCTATTACTAGAGGTAGTGTCAAACATATTGTTGGGCTGAGAAAAAGCCTTTAGGATCTTTCCAGAGACTAAGTCCCACTTGTACAAGATGTTTGAGTAGTGCAGCGGAAGTTGAGTAGTTGAACCCTTGCACTAGTATGTGAGAGCAAGTGATTGATTAAAAGAAACAAGCATACAGCAATATATAGAAAATAGGAAAGTAAAGCAGTTGTGGAATACAGTTGAAAGAACGGTTATCGAGTCGATGATCGGTTCGGTTAGCACCCTTGCAGTTGTAACGGTCAGTCGCAACCGGAGGTTGCGACCCTTCGAGTCTTTCGTCCTTTCGTGTTCCTTCATCCAACCTCCTCGTGTAACCTCCGTTGACTCGCGTACCCGATACGGCTTTACTCGAGTGTAGTGTCATACTTCAGAAACGCTAAAGTCCTTGAGGTATTTCCAACACTCCCCTTCGTTTCTGGAGTGCTGACGTGTCCAGATTTGGTGATGTTTATCTGCCGGGTCAACAGCATGCAGTAATCAAACTTTGCCTTCGCCAGTTTCTTCGTCAGGTAGTCTGCGGCCATTTTTGTCGTGGGGCAGTAACTGAGTTGAAGTCTCCCCTTCGCGATCTCATCTTTGACGCAGAAATACCGCAGGGCGATGTGCTTGGTTCGATTGGCGAACCCATCTTTGTTCGTGATTTTGATTGCGGATTGGTTGTCGCAGAGTAACGAGAAGGCGGGCATGGTCGCTATTTTCGCTTCCTCGAGCAGCTCCCGCAGGTAAAGTCCTTTTTTGGTCGCGGTGCAGAGGGCGATATATTCTGCTTCAGCCGAAGATAGCGCAATTAATTCATGCTTGCTCGATTGCCAGGAGATAGTCCCGATAGGTTCTAATCGGTAGATGTAGCCTGTTCTGGAGCGTCGATTTTCCTTATCTCCCGCATGGTCGTCGTCGACATAGCCGAGTAATCGTACAGCCAAGTTTATGTTGATATTCCTGGATTTGCTTCGCGGGAAGTTTTGCGGAGGTTCCGCCGTTGTCGTTCCCGTAGCGATAGGGAGTCGCGACTACGATCGGCGTTAGTCCGAATTTCTTCGCGACAACGCCTGCGTACTTTCCGGCGTGTAGGTAGAACGCCGACTTGTCTTTGACGACGTTCAGGCCCAGGTTCTGGGTCACGGTGTTAGACACCGTGAGTGTCAAGTCACTCCTCAGCTCCCCTTCGAACCAGGTGGCGATGTCAGTAGTGGAGCCGATGTAGAGCAGGTCGTCGACGTAGACGATTAGTAGGACAAAACCCCCTTCCTTCTGTAGTTGGTACATGCATTGGTCGTGCGGCAGCTGTAGGAAGCCGATCCTAACGAGGCGGCCGTGAAGATGCTGCTGCCAAAGCCGCGGGACTTGTTTGATCCCGTAGAGGGATTTTATCAGCTGGCATACTTTTGTGGGATCGTCGATGAATCCGTGGGGCTGCTCGACGAAGATCTTGGCGTCCACAGGTGCGTACAGGAAGGCGTTTGCGACGTCGATCTGGTGCAGTGGTATTTTCTTCGTGGCCGCGCCGGCGAGTAGAATGCGCAAGGAGGTGTGACAAGAGACTGGGGCGAATGTCTCTGTATAGTCGGTTCCGTATCGGTGATCGAATCCTCGTACGACCCAGCGAGCCTTGAATCATTCGATGGAGCCGTCCACATTAGTCTTGATGCGGTACACCCACTTTCCCGAGAGCACGTTTTTCCCGTTGGTTTTTGTTGCAGGTACCAGCTTCCACGTGTTTCGGTCTTGCAGGGCCTTTTGTTCTTTTTCCATTGCTTCCTTCCATTTCGCCTTGTGTTCCCCCCCCAGAGCGTGCGACAGAGTCGTTGGCTCGCGCGGAGACGGCGGCGGCGGGCTCTGGACGGCGACCCATAGTCCAAGGATCTGCAGGCCCGTGGGTGTGTGTCGAGGGGAATTTTCATTCCCGAGATAGGCTGCTTTGTCACCATCTTCTGGATCAGGTAAGAAATTTGGTCCGATGCGTTCTGAGACAATCGTGTCGACTGGTTGAGGTGTAACGTAACCTTGGTCAGCGAAGTGGTAATATGTGTCGAGGTTGTTACTAGCGAGAGGATTGTCGTCGTCGAGTGGAACAGGCATGGAGCAGTAAGGGAGTGCTGCGTCAGCTTTGGCAGCCCGGTCGGCGAAGGACCGAAGGCCCTCGAAGCCGTCGGTGGGGTCCTCTGTGTTGGCGACATTGTCCAGGTAATGCTGCAGCGTTAGTCGCTCGTAGAAAATCACATCACGTGAGGCCACTGTATTTTTGTCTTGTATGTCGAGGAGTTTCCATGCTTGGAAATGTTTTGCGATCCCGAGGTGTAGTCCCCACCGTGCTCGTTGAGAGAATCATTCTTCTCGAGCTGTGTGGGGTCTGTACTTCACCATGCAGCCAAAGACTCGAAGTAATTTTGTGCTGCCCTTTTTTCTTGTCCACAGCAGGTGCGGTGATGCGTTGTTGGGAAGTGATGACGAGGACATCAAGTTGTGCAGGTGGACTGCATGTGTCATCGCATCTGGCCACAGTGTGTTGGGCAGTCTCATCCCCATGAGCAGTTTTCGCATCGTCGTCTGCAAGGTCCGGTTCATCCTCTCTACGACCCCCTGCTGTTGGTGAGCGTAGGGCAGGGACACTAGGCGTCTGATGCCTCTTTCTGCCAAGTAGTTTATGAATCGTTGTGATTGGTACTCCAGTGCTCCGTATGACTGGAAGCTCTTGAGTTGCGAGCCCGATTCGCGTTCAGCGATGGGCAGCCATGCCGTGAAGGCTTCGAACGCTTGATCTCGTGGCTTGAGGTTGTAGTGCCAGATGTCGTCGGGAGCGCGATGTCTGGGTGAGCGCTGGTACTTGTCGGCGTTGGAGAAGAATGCGACGACCGTGGTGGGACTTCGGCAGACTTCTCGGGTGATGGGCATAAGTTGATCTGCTTCGGTTGGCGGTCCTCGGATTGCTGGTGATGGTACACGGCTGGGTCCTGCTGCTGCTACTGCAGGTGATGTCGGGGAAAGGACGCTTGTTGGTACTTGTCTTTCTTGTTGGATGACTGCTAACGCTCGTGTTCTCTCTACTGCAGGTATGGTGTTAGAGTACCAGAATCCATCTAGGGTAAAGTCGGGGTCAAGATCCGGCAGGTGCGTCCAAGCGGCGAACGACACGATGCCATCGCTGTCGGCTATACCGCGGTCGG